TTTGAATGATTATGAGTAGATAACATTGCTTGACCTGATTGTTCCGCATTATGTGATTATAACCTCATTAATAAGGTTACTCTACCAGACTAAGTTACAAGTCAGATCTGTGGAGAGGCAGCCCAACTCAGAATCAGGGATACATGTTTTTTTAATCAGCAATATTAACAGATGAATACATGCAACACTAGATGACTGGACTAGAAGATGATCAGTTTTTTTTTTAAAGTTACATGGTGCATCTTTAAAGGTGCACTGCCTCTCCACAGATCTGACATATAACTTGACCTTGCGGTGTCACGTGCTGTCTTCATAGAGATAAATAAGTGTAACCACCAGAAAAGTTACACGGTGCATCTTTAACATTACATAAGTTACAGTAACATTTGTACCATTCCAGTAAATTGCAACATGCGAATTGTGCAACCTGGAATGTAATTTATTTTACTTCTTTTAGACACCTCAATGTGTTTTATAATCTGTTTGTTTCTACTTGTCAGTTTGTCAGCTCATATTTCCAACACCTTCACCGATGATGTCACTTTAGCTTGAGCGTGTTTGTGCGTCTCCATAATGTGTTACATCGAGTGTGTAATGAAAATCTACATGCATCCTCCTCACTGAAGGGGCTGACTCATTCTCATATATCACATAAACACACCCTTATGTTCTGACACTGTTGCGCTCATGTTTTCTTGTTTTCATTCCATTAGCTTTGCCAGCGGGAGATGTCAGGGGGGCGGACCCGTCTGAAGAAGCGATGTATCACTGGCACGCTCACATGTCAGAGGAGTGAAGTAAATCCTCAGGTGAGTCACATTGTAAAAACAGCAGCTCGGAGAAGAGAATTCCTTTAAATAACAACGGCTTGCTCTGGCGGATTTGTCTGATATATGCAAGTGACCCTGAGTAAAAGGCCCTATATTACACAAAACTGACTGACCTTTAAGTCATGTTAAAATGTTGTTACCTCTTCAAAACATACCTGGAGTTGTGTTTTGTTTCATTCACACATGTTTTAGTAACTCTTTATTAATAGTATGGCTACTTCTCCAAAGCTCAAAATGCTCCTAGAATGCTCTTAAAATGCAGCTGCGTTTTAATTTTAATTCAGTAGAGATTGGCAATTCCAGGGCTGAAATTATCAAAATGATTTTATTGAAGGTGTATAGAGTTAAAAACACAGTACAGAGTACAGAGTACTTTCTGTATTACTATATGACATCACAAGGTGGAATAGAGTGTTTTCTGTTTGAGAGAAGAACTAAATATACAGGGTTTGTGTTAAATATGTGTGAATGAAACAAAACACAACTCCAAATATGTTTGTGATGAGGAAACAACATTATAACATGGATCAGAAAATAGCATAATAAATGTGTGGACAAAATGGATTGTAGGGAACATGCGGCATCAGTTATATGAAAAACTATTCTGCTCATTTGTCCATTGAGGTTAAAGGGCCCATATTACGCTATTGTCTGATCTATGCCATAATGTTGTTTCCTCATCACAGACATTCCTGGAGTTGTGTTTTGTTTCATTTACACATGTTTTATGCACAAACCTTGCATATTTTGAATATGCAATTCCAGTTTGATGTCATGTGGTAATACAGGAAGTGCTTCATTGTGTTTTTACCCTCCATACACCTTCACTAGAATCAGTTGGATGATTTCAGCCCTGGAATTACCTGTCTCTACTGAACTACAGAAAAAACATAGCTGTTAATTTACAAACTACCACTTCATGACATCACAAGGTACAACAATAGACAGACTAATAATAAAGGATTGCTCAGATATGTGTTAATGAAACAAAAAACAACACCAAATATGTTTTTGATAATGTAACACCATGGCTTAAAGCTCACACAAATCTATTTTGCGTAATATAGGACCTCTAAAGTAGTATTCAACTATGCTTCACTGTCCTTCTATGGAATTGTGTTCCCAGCATAGAGACAGAAATAGATACAATTTATATAAAATCAGTTAAATTTACTGTAGTAACTTAAGTTGTACTTAATTGCACTTCTCTATCAGAAAAATTACAGAGTGCTTCTTAAAGTAGGTCATAAGGTAAAAGTCTGGGACATGCTCAGGTCTGATCAAATTGGCTAATGCAACTTTAAGTATAGGTTCTTTGATACAAAAATGAGATCTCAAATGCCTGTATTGAGCTGTTTTGGTTATTCAAATTAAATGTTAAGTTAAAGCTGTTAATATACAGTTTGGTGTCATATTTTTATTACTGGAGAAACATTTACACTATTTAAATGTAAAATCTGCTGCTGAAACAAGCTTGCAAAAACGCACATAAACCAATACCTACGATAACAATAATTATGTACTATTATAAGTCTGAACATTAAGTAATTGCATAGCTCTACTGGTCCACTTTTACTCTGTATGTCCTTGAAGACCCAAACAAGTCCATAAACCGCCACAATACGACAAGAAGTGTGTGATCGAGCCAAAGAGGGAGGAGAGAGAGACATGCCGTCACAGAGCGCTGCCAGTCACTCTCATCTCTCACTATAGTGACTCAAGCTTTCCCACTGATTCATGTCTGTGAAAAGACCCCACCACCAGCTCTCCTCCTGGGGCTGCAAGATTAATCGCAATCGAATCAAATTCCAATTTGAATGAACACAATTAGCAAATCGCAAAGGATGCAGTTTTTGAAGTAGTGTAATTTCCTCCACAAACAACATATCCGGTCTTACATTGCATAAAAATAGCTTAGTCTGTAGTTTAGATCTGTACAAACATGTTCTGCAATATGATTCTTGTTCTAGTTTGCCAGTTCATATTTTAGCCTTTTTGTAATTGCTTCTGGATGTGTTTAAAATGTGAACAAAATTGTGTTATTAAAACAGAAATTGCAAATCTTAACCCACTTGCAATACTTATGGGTTATTTTGTCAGTGGCATAAAGCAGTTGGAAGATTATCCAAGCAAGAGTACTGTTACAGAATACAGAATACAGAATACTGAAAATTACAGAATAATGAATTCCTGGATTAAAATGTATTTTGTTAGATGTTGTATTACAATTACTATTATCTGGTACAATCAGAGTACTGTATCCTGAATACTTGCATTTAAATTATAATGCAAAAACACAACATAGGATTAAAACTATTCTGTTTGTTTTACCCTTTGTATTTAATTTGTGTATCACTAATTGGAGAAGGACAAATCACATGTAGACTCTCAACAAGAGTGGTGTTTTAATCACTTATTTGGTGCAATTTGAAGCCTGAATTACATGATCAAATGCCATGATGTATTCCTTTGATTTGAAAAGTAACTGTACTGGAGTACAGTTACTCAGAAATAGTATTCTTTATATGTATTTTCAGTACACGTAATCAGTTACTTCCCAGCACTGTCTATATATCTCACTTCAGAATCTGTTATTGTGACTGGCCTCTTTGCTGTGGACCTCCAGGATGTTCAAAAGTGGCTCAGGTTGTGGTGCACCTGCAGGCCCATGCTCACAGACAGGGGATTTCACCACCATGATGACGGGGCACACTCTTCCTTCCTGAGCCCACATAAATCTGTCGGTGGTTCTGTCCCGGGCTCTAATATTATACCTGTTTTCCATTACCTTTGGCCTGCAGGAGAGAGAAAGCTTTTGTTGATGTACAGGTTGTGTTTTTTTTACTCATTTGTGTGTAGTGTTGTTGACCAGACCTATGGGTAAATGTATACTGGATCTATACAACTGCCTTTGCTTTATATCACAGTCCCATGTGGATATGAGCATTAGGGCAGAACAATTTTGGAAAAATATTTAATAATAATTGCTATTAGATTTGTGATTTCTCTCGTAATAATAGATTCTGTTTGAAGTTCACATTTTCAATTGACAAAAGCAGAACTGACAAAAAGACTGAAATATGAACTAATAAACTAATTGAAGAATGACACTTCAGAACATTTTTCTGCAGATCTAAACTACAGGGTTAAGTTAACAGTTTTTTGTTTTTTTTTGCAGAATAATACACTGTTGTTTGTGGAGAAAATTATGGAGGTGACACTGCTCACAGTCAGTTTTAAGTGCATTTTATAAGTAATATAAATACCTACAAATGGACAAAAACATGATAAATAGATTAAACACCATGTGACATCATGGTCAAAAGCAATATCGTTTTCATAGATTCAAGCAGGAACCAGCCCTCCCCCCGAACAGTTACATGGTGATTCTGCAGTGATCATTGATTTTGCTGCACCAGGTAAGGCAGTGTTGTCCTTCCCCTAATGGGCTGTGTGTTTTATAGCTTTGTGTAAATAGCACCTTCTCTCCCCTCTCACAAAAATGACATGAATGGACTTGTAAGGACATTTCTCAACAGTGAAGGACCTCTGTCATCTCTGCAGCAGAGCGACCCAGGGCTATAATCAACCACACACCGCCCCTCACATGGACACATGCACTCTACACTACACTGCACTACACACTATTGTTGTTTGTTTGGCAAAACTTAAAATAGCAAAGACTCTAATATTATATTTTAAAGATTTATTTAAAATGCCATATATATTTAACAATACAATAAAAAACTGGAAATAATAAAATAATAAATACATTTACAAAACTTGGTGCCATAAGTCACATTTTAGTTTGTGCATTTTGATCAGTGTAATACAGTGGGGTTTTGTCAAGTGCAGGACCATATGTACAATGCATATTCATCATGTAGCATTTTAACAACATGAATGTTGTGTTTGTCATAACCACAATGAAACTATTCAGGAGATAAAAGAGACCGTCATCAGAGAACAACAGGCATTTCTGCAGTGTTTACAACATTCTGTGGTCTAGATGCCATCGCTCATTTACACGTTTTTGTACCATCACTCTGAGTTCAGTGGTTCACAGTCCAGCCCTGTGCTCCTCAGTGCATGCGCCTATAGCACACTGACAGGACACTGACAGGACTCTAGTAAGAGTTTGTGCAGTGCAGAGTCACAGTGTACACTCTGTTAAAGTATCTCTGTGCACAGTGACAGGCTGTGATCAGGCTCCTGCAGGTAGCCCACAGGCCAGTGAAGTCCCGGCGCTGGTTCTACAAACTGATCTATGTATCCTTGTGTACAGGAGGCCCAGACTGCAGACTGGTAGCCCAGGCCTTCCCCAGGTTGTGAGTACCTGAGGGGGCTGGGGGGGTGCTCATGGGGGCTTCCACAGTGTCCGTGTGTGGAGTAGAGCTGTGCCTCTGGAGGATAGCAGGGGTAGTGCGGGGATGGAGGGCACGAGGACCCTGAGGTGTCCATGTAGATGTGAGGCTCAGCAGATAACCTGTGCAGGTGAGACCCTGGCTGTGCCCTCTGATGGGGCATGGGCATGTGCCAGGGGACGTAATTCTGCTGCTCCACTCGGGGCCCAGGGGCCCGGCTCTGCTCCGTGCGAGGGGCCCCTGTGCCACGGTTACACTCACGGTGACTGCAGGGTTTACTCGGTGGATTGGAGCTTAAGGTACACAGACAGTGCAGAGATGCGGTTGATGGCTTTCTGTAGAGTGGCGATCTTGGATAGGCGTTTTCCACTGAGGTCATGGTTCAGGGCAACCCTGAGGGCGTTGAAGGCCTGGTTGTAGTCCATGATACGTTTACGCTCACGGACATTAGCTGCCATCCTCCGAGCTTTGGAGCGCACCGGGCGGTTGCGTTTCTTGGTCTGACCTTCTTCTGCTTCACTGGGGCTGGTGGAGCTCTCACTGTCCTGGAAGGATCCTTTAGGACTTCCCTCGTCTTCACCTTGGCCCAAAGTGCACAGTTCCAACTCTTCCTCAGAGAACTCTGAGCCGGCCACACTGCTGCAGCTCATGGTGCAAACAGTGACAAAACACCAGAAAAAAAGCCTTTAAAATAACAAAAATCTATTTAATGTTTGTGTCAGGTTATCTGGTCTTGTGTGATGGGCTGTCGGTGTGTCCCCTGTGCCGACAGCCCTGGTATTCTTCTACTCTGACTGCTCCTGTTGCTGTCTTGTGATTACTTGTAACTGAGCCGTCAGGTCGGCCTGCCTTTTAAAGCAGCTGTGGTCACATGACTCAGGTACCTGTGAGGATCTGTGCACTCTCTCCATCTCCTGGTTTATGAGAGCCCTCAGGCCAAATGGCACTGTCACCTCCTCCTCTGACTCTCTCTTCTATCTCTTACATGATCTAACACAATCACTTTAGTGTAATGTTGTATACAAAACACACTTAGTCAACTTCAAACTTACTTGATCTATTTGTGCATTTAAAAATTACATAAGTTTAAAGCCTTATAGTTATAGTCTAAATGAACCCATTACATAAATCTGGTTTGATACTGTATAATAATTATCAAGACTACCTTTGATAAGGAAATACTTCCTTTGACAGAAAATACTTGATTGAACTGAATGGACATCATACACATTCTAGGCCATGGCCATGTATCATGTGAGCTACAGTTGTTTGTGTTGTCCTTCTCAGGTGTGGGAAGAGAGGAACCTTCTTATCTGTGGTGGTTTAGATTTGTCCTTACAATTAGCTGTCTTCAGAATGTCCATTCTCCCCTGTGTATCTCTCTGCGCTTAGGCTTAAGGGCCATGTAATTTAGAGGAGCTCCGCTGGAACCTCTCCCATAAATCAGGCCTGGGCAGCACCTGAGGACAGAAGCCGAACAAACGCAAGACTTCAAAGACACTGAAAAACAAGGGCAAATATTTTACAATTAGGACCTACAATTGCTGCTGGCTTAAACCATCGATCTTTCATTGACAGGATATTAACATTACTAAGATGTTTTCATTTCATATTATGAAGCCCAGGTTAATGAATAAGGCATCATTAATCCATTGCTAATAGTAGTAGTCTGTAACATGACAGTGACTAAATATCAACATAAACAAATTGTCTAGATTAGAACTGAGAGGAGCCCAAATAATCACTAAATAATCACCAAATAATAGATATTGTAGGATTGAGGATGGGGAGATGTCACTGCACTGACCTTTAGCTAAGCTCCTGGCCAAGTGCAGCAGGTCAGGTAAGTAAACGTCCTTCTGTCAGATACTGAGCCAGGGGTCGTTCACAAGCATTGCTTCCTTCCTGCTCATGACTTTTTATTGTACGTGTTGCGGCTTTGAGACGCCAACCTTTAAAACAATTACAGCCCAGTGCTGCAGCTCTCAGAGTACAACTATTGATTTGAGGTCTAGCCATTTTACTGCTTTCTTCATGGGGTTAGCCTAACTGTGAGTTTTACTCATTATACTGCCCTTTTCCCACCCAGTGCAATGCTATTTTCTAATGCAAATGTATGCATGTTATAGAGATAAGTCCACAGTGCATTTTATGCAGCAAGCCTCTACTGAAACATGAAGGCAACTCCCAGGCTCTAATACATCTGCTCTACATGCATACAGACTAGTGTTAAGAGTAACAAAGGGTCTTTTTAGTGATCTGTCAGTTTCAATCAGAATGCTCATTACCTCATTAACACCTTTAACTTTCACTGATTAAAAAACTCAGTACATTGTAATGTGTTGTTTTAAGTGAGGTTTTGACTCTTTTCAAAGAAAATCTGATGTAACTAAAATAACTGTGGTCTGTACTTAAGTGCTCGCAAATCTCCCACTGATAACAGTGGCAATGATGGGGTTTGAGCTTTGAGCTTTGATGGACTTAGGGGAGACATTTTCTTATCTCTTTCACTCTAAAAGTATCACTTGGACATCTCCACTTGCACACCTTTGTGTCAGGCAGCCCTTCCTGTGTTGTTAGATCCATTTTAACAGTCTTTAACAGTATCAGGCGCAGCGCTGTGTTCAGAGGAGCTGTGATTTATGGCTTCACAAACATGTCAGATTTACTGCTGTGGTGTAAAGAGCACAGAGACTACAGCCTCGGACTCTCCCTGTCCATTCATTTTGACAGGTGACAAGACACCAGTAATTATCAGCCGCCAAGAATAAATCATACGATTTTATCACACGGTTCGGCGTGTCCTTGATGGGATAACCATTTTCAAGTGAGGGGGGGCTGTCCAACACCGCTGAACCCTAGATTTGTAAATCTCCTCCTCAAGCCCCCATAATGACTGGTTGTTAGCCACTTGTTATTAGAGGTCTGTGTGCCAAAAGTTATAGATGTATATTTCCAAAGGGGTAGTTAGGCCTAATAAGTGAGTAAGTTCGCTAACCTTGGCTTTGCAGTGGTATGTTAATGCATGTTTTTGGTGTCTGCTATGGAATTTTCTCACCTTGATAAAAGCTTCCACTTAGGACAAAGTTATTGATAATCTCACCTCACCAATATTGGTTATACCACCATTATGACTGGAGTAATCAACATTATCAGCTTTACTATTCCAATCTGTGGAGGGTTATTATTTTTTTCCATTTAGTGCTAAGGGATTACTACTGTACAGTGGGGTCACATTTAGCCAAATTTCACTCATCATTTGTGCATAATGTCATGTGACCCACCCAGGGGAGTTGACGGGGGACAAAGGGGTGTGTGTCCCTGGGCCCAAGTGTCTTAGGGCCCTCAATTGGACCCTCTTCCTATTAATTTATATTAGAGGGGGACCATGCGAGGATTCTTGCCCCAGACCCACAAATCTCTGTCGACTGTCCTGGACCAACCCATTTTTTCTTTTAAAGAAACAGTATGTAAAATTTTGTTAGCCTGTAAAATCCATAAATATGACCTAGCTGTGATTCTCTTATTTTGGTTGCCAGTTGCAATGCTGAAATACATCTAATCTCTCTGATCTGAATCCTCACTACCTAAACCCCAGCATCTGCAGTCAATCATTAGGCAGTGCTAGTGCAGCCTTTGCAGCTAAGTAAGGGAATTGTGGAGTTTTTGAGCTTTCCCATGAGGCATGGCCTGTCCATATACTGAGAATGAGAAAAACTTCTATGTGTCCTATTTGCAGGTTAAGGCACGAGCACCCCAGGTTCAGTTGTGATTGTAAACCTTTTATAAAACTGTAAGAGCACATACATTTTATTCATACGTTTCTTCTTTCGTTATTTCCACCTCTTGATGCAGAACCACAGACAGGTCATACACATGTTAACCTGTATTGTACAGCAGTATATATACACTTGGAGTGGAGATACAGTTTATAGGGTTTACAGTGCTCTTAAATTCCTGGTATTGTTCAAGCCTAGGCCTGTGATGTGATGTTTCTTGTTCTGACGCTTGTCTTGTGCTACATGAGGTTCTGTCGGCATCGTTGAAGGACACTCGTCTGTCCAGTGAGTCCATCTGTCAGTGTGATCTCTGCTGTCAGCGCTGGTGTCCGTCATGGCTCAATGTACCAGACATCTGCCTCTGAAGAAGGAGGCCTCTGCTTTGACTCATGCTTTCCTCTGAGCTACACTCAAACGCTGCATAAGAAGGATTTGTGTTGAGGGGTGAAAGTACCAAATTACGTATACTCCAGATACTGTAACTGAGTATATATTAAGTATATTTTAATTATTGATTATAATTCTACCCATGTGATTATATAGTTAGTTTTAAATCATAGGAGTTCCTGAGTGCGGCACAAATCCTTCACCACTCTTTGCTGTTAGTGCTCTTTCAGCACTGTGAGAGAAATTAGATTTTGTTCAAAATGATGAGTGACCAATGAGCTCTTTCATTTCACGTGTGTCACTGAAATAAACTAATCTGATTGCATGGCAGTGCTTAAGCCTTTCCTGGCAAACTTTTTATTTTTCATGTGTATGTTTTATATTTACGTAAAGAGTCTATGTTACACTAAATTGACTCTTATGAGCTTTAAGCCATGTTAGAATGTTATTACCTCATCAGAAACATGGAGTTGTGTTTCATTCACACATGTCTGAGTAACGTTTTATTATTAGTCTATTATTTTCAAGTTAACACCTGCCTCATAGCTTTAGTTCTGTAGAAACAATTCCAGGGCTGAAACCATCCAAATGATTCTAGTGAAGGTGCATGGACTTTAAAAACACAGTGGAGCACTTCCAGTATTACCACATGGCATCACAAGGTGGAACACAACCAAAATATGCAGGGTTTGTGTGGTAAACAAGTGTGAAAGTTCCAGGTATGTTTTTGACGAGGAAAGAACATTATAACAAAGATTAGAAAATAATGAAATTTGGGCCCTTTAAGTAAAATTTTGGCAGCATTATCTGTAATTTTACTGATGTGCAGATTTCCACCAGCACTCTTTCCACCACTTTATATTTCATTTGAATGCTTAGTTTACACAAGGCCAAACATGTGGCTTTGATATGAGGTACAGTCTAGCCTATCTTTTGTTGTTGTCTGTCACCATGCACCATGCACACAGGCACGCACGCACACACACACACACACACACACACTTGTAATACGTCTACATTGCTGTATGACTCCACATACACAAAAAGTGACAAGAGGAGACTCCTGACAGCACATTTGTGAATCATTCAGTCTGAAATTACTGGCACTTATTTGCTGTTGACTGCTGTAATACCTCTCCGTGTACGACCGCTATAAAACCTGTTGGTGAGAAACAGTGCCTCAGGTCCTACAGCAGATGCAGCTCGGCACAGAAAATGTTATTCACCAAATCTGTCGTAGTCCTGGCCGTTAATCATAGAGTTATTCTGCAGCATTAAAGGTGTCTCCAAAGGTTTACTGCGCTTGTGATTTATGAGGGGAAAAACAAGAGGTAAAACTGAAAAGATGAAAACACGAAAGCATAGTATTGGATTATGTTAATTTAGTTACTAGAGCCATTGTCGAGTCTGAATTGAGATCATTTCAAATCGGTAATAGTATGCTTTGGTATTTTTAATGGTATGTGGTTTAGAGTTCAAACTAT